GTAATGTGAGCCAGAAGGAGCTGCGTTCTGGTAGGCTTCAAGAAGAAATGAGGATAGAAGCTCCATGTCACTCTACTTCCTCTCTTTTGAAGATGTCAGTCAAGACTTTTCCAGCTCTCCTTGAACTTTGATAGAAGATGGGGGGTAGGGAAGGGGCATGATTTCTCTCCTCTGCCCTTTAGTGGTTATGACAGCTATGATCATATGGTAGAAAGAACACATACTTGATAGCACTACCAGGTCTATATCCCAAAAAGGTTACAAAAAAGGGAAAAGGACTTCCATTTATAAAAAAATTATAGCAGGTCTTTTTGTGGTAGCAAAGAATTAGAAATTATGGGGATGCCCATCAATTGAGGAATGGCTGAACAAGTTATGGTATATGAATGTAATGGAATACTATTTTGCTATAAGAAATGACAAGCAGACAGATTTCAGGAAAACCTGGAAAGACTTACATGCACCGATGCAAAGTGAGGTGAGTAGAACCAGGAGAACATTGTACATAGTATCAGCAACATTGTTCAATGATAACCATGAATGACTTAACTCTTCCCAGCAATACAATGATCTAAGAAGAAAAGTCCAAAACACTTATGATGGAAAATGCTACCCACATCCAGAGAAAGAACAGATGGAGTCTGAATGCAGATTGAAGCATACTGTTTTCATTTTCTTTATTTTGTTCATGGGTTTTTTTTTCCTTTTGTTCTGTTTCTTCTTTCACAACATGACCAATATGGAAATATGTTTTACATGATTTCCCATATATAAACTATATTAAATTGCTTACTGTCTTGGGGGGGAGGAGAAAAATCTAGAACTCAAAATCTTATAAAAATAAATGTTGAAAATTATCTGTACATGTAATTGGAAAAAAATAAAATACTATTTACAAAAAAAAGAATACATGCTTAATCCAGGGAGCCCGAGACTAGATCTCGAGTCCCTGACTGTCTCTTTTGTTTTGTGTTTCTTTCCCTGAGCCTAGGTCACTGCACCTTGATCTTGAGGGATGTTTCCAGCCTTGGTAGCAACCTCATGAGTTTGAGAGGAAGAGATTACCCAGCTTGATGCCTCAGACGTATCACTTTGACCACTGGCAAGTCCCAGTCTCTAAGTGCCCGAAGAAACTCTTTCAGATTATAAATTATAGACAAATTGCCCATTTACATCAAGTGGAAGGAGTGAGTTTTCATGCCAAAAGCTTCCCATCAGAGAAATAATGGATCATAGTTTTCCAATAAGAAAGGAACTCAGAGATTAACCAGTCCAATACCCTCATTTTATAGATGAAGAAACTGAGGTCCAGGAAGGGTAAGTGACTTGCACAAGATTAAACAGGTAGTCAGCATAAGGGGTTGTATTTAAATACAGGTAATAATAATAATAATAATAGCATTTATAAAAATACCATTTCTATGGTATTTTAAGGTTTGCAAAGCACTTTACATATATTATCTCATTTGACCCCCACAATGGTCCTGGGAGGTAGGTGGTGTTATCGTCCCTATTTTGACAGATGGGAAAAACTGAGGCAGACAGAAGTTAAGTGACTTGCCCATGGTCAGACAGCTAGTAAGTATCTAAGGCCAGATTTGAACTGAGGACTTTATGACCCCAAGTTTGCTGCTCTCTCTACCTCACCCCCGCTCCTGCCTCTAAGAGATCATACAACTCCACAGCCAATGAGTCCTCTTCCCACTCTATGAATGGGAACTGTGTGAATCCAAACAGAAAAAGAGAAAGGAGACTGGGCCTTCATTCTCTGCCAAATGAACCTGAGATCTGGGGTGACTCTAACTAGGTTCTTTGCCAGTAAAGTGCAGGCTTTGATAGATCCTACCAAGACAAAAATACAATACTGCAATGGGCAGTATTGTATTGCTCAAGGACCTACCTAATTCAGGGGATTGGAATCATCACTAGAGAACTGACAAGCAGGTAATAAATGATTTTGGTCCCCGCTAGGTCCCAATTAATATGAATAATGTGTGTTGGGAAGTGGTCCCGTGAATATAAATTTGTACTATTTGAAATTATAATTATGTAAAATGTGGTATTTGGGTAGGCAGGGGGTGCAGTGGATAGAATACAGGGTCTGGAGTCAAGAAAACACCTTTTCCTGAGTGCAAATCTGACCTTAGACACTTACTAGCTGTGGGACTCTGGGCAAGTCACTTAACCCTGTTTGCCTCAGTTTCCTCATCTGTTTAATGAGCTGGAGAAGGAAATGGCAAACCACTCCAGTACCTTTGCCAAGAAAACTCCAAATGGGGTCATGAAAAGTTGGACACAACTGAAAAAACCACTGAATAACAATAACAAAATGGTTGTTGGTTCCAGACCAATGGAAGTATGTTTATATAAAATGCTTATATAATACTATAAACTGAATAATGACTACTTCGAAGGACTCATTATTTGCAGTAATCAAGACCTAGGGGTTCTAGGTCTTACAGAGGTGACATCACAAATCTCTGGGCTATTGAAATATTAAAATAGGGGCACCTAGGTGGTGCAGTGAATAGAGAACCAGCCCTGGAGTCAGAAGGACCTAAGTTCAAATCTGGCCTTAGACACTTGACACTTACTAGCTGTCTGACCATGGGCAAGTCACTTAACCCTGATTGCCTTGCAAAAAAATATACGTATTAAAATAAGTAGCCTGGGACACAGGTAGATTTTTCCATTTAAATTACTGCTTCCCAGAGACCTGATATCCACAGCCCATCCCATTAAACTGTGAGCTCTTCAAGGGCAGGGATTGCATTTTTTGCCTTTCTTTGTATCCCTGGGGCTTACAGAGCACAGTGCCTGGCACATAGTAGGTACTTAATAAATGCCTGTTGACAATTTGATTTTACTCAGGCAATGTCAAGGATCTGATAATTAAATTCCCATCATTCTCCCATACTAGTAACTAAAGCATGATCTTTCATTCATAAAGATGGTGCTACTAATCTTACAATAAGTAGGACTCATCCTGGATATTTTTCTTGTAGACTGGATAAGTTTTTGTTGTCTAATTTACATTCTATCAGCCCATCCTCCTTTGACCAACAATAGTTGGTCAATAGTTAATTTGAAGAATGACAAGATTAGGTTAGAGGTATGGTATTTGGGCATACTAATAGAGAGGAGTCATAACTAATGTAAGGTGACCAGGGCTTTTGTCTGGCACGGACATGCCTCTTTCCTAGGCCATCACTATAGCTACACTCTTATAGAGCCCCACTCTGTTATTCCCCTCCTCCTCATTGCCCCACTGATACACTTCACCTCCCTACCCCTGCTTTGAGATTAGGGAGTCAAAAATTGTCAGCCACAGTACAGGTATATGGCCTGGACTTTAGAGAACCAGCCAATTTCTTCTCCGTGGGACTATCATCCCCTCTCCCTCCTATACGGATCCTCTCTTCTCTTGGGATCTGGGGCAGCTGGAAAGAATAATATTAACAGAATCAAATCTTCTAGCCAGTCTCCTTCCAGGATTCACCAAGATGCTGGCACTGGGGAAAGGGGATGGCCCTCCCAGGAGCAAGAGCTTGAGCTCACTTATTCTTCATGTTAGAGTCCAATTTCTCCTTGATAATTTGATTTATTCCAAAATTAGTTTAGCCCAGGCACAAGAATCTTTAGTTATGACTCTAACTTTTCATCTTTTCCTTGGACATTTATTAATGTTCCCTTAACATTTATTAATAATGATACCCAGACCAAAGCCTTAGAGAACTGAAGGAGTCCATCCCTCTGCAGAAGCTGGCGCTAACCTCTCCCTCTTTGGCTATGTGCCAGGGCCTCTGAAACATCCCTCAGGAGATATATCTGTATTTCATCAAACCTTTCCCATAGGGAGATTACTACAGTGAATGATTATGTCTGGCAAGGAAGTGAGTGTGGTAGTTCCCTTTGACAAAGTCCCTGGGGTAGTTGGGTTTGAGTACCTGGAGAGGTATTTTAAAGAACCTGTCTGTCAGCCCTGCCAGGAGACAGGTGGCTGCCAGCTCACAGGGGCCAATCTGCTCTTGGAGGTGGGGAGAGAAGAAACCCAAACCTTATTTCTTTGTGGGACATACTGACACAGACGGACGGCCTCACATGGTGATATCAAGGAACTAATCAGAAAGTACTTGTCTTACACTACAGCCGGAGTCAGGTGGAGTGAACCAAGATGTCAGTCTCAGGCAAACAAGGACAAACCAATTACAAAGGGACAGCCCCCCAACTGGAAACCAAGAGAAGGTCATTAAAGCAAAACTCACACTACACCCCCAGAACCATAGCCAATACAGCTAAATAGCACAGTGGAATAGAATGTTGGGCCTCAGTGAGGAAGATCTGAGTTCCAACCCTGCCCCAGTCCCCTGACCAGCTTGGATTATCCTGGCCAAGTCACTTCCCTTCTCAGCTTCATTTTCCTCATCTGTAAAATGGGGATGATAATAGCACCCACTCGATTATTGTAAGGTTTAAATGAGATAACATAACACGAGATAACAAGTTAGTTGTATAGAAACATATGTTGGGGGTGTGGCATCATTGATCAAGATAAAGGCCGACAGACAGACACCACCCGCAGACTGGACCAAGACAGGGGAGGGGAGCCACCTCGGTCCTCCTTCCCTTCCACGCCCATCTCGAGGTGCTACAGGCTTGCTCTGCCTTCTGGCCTCCCAGCCCAAGGACCTTCAGTAACCCGGTAGGGCTGGGGCCGTGGAGCAGAGCAGGTGCTAGGATTCCTGGACAGAGCAGAAGGGGACGAAACGCACACATTGAAAAGACGCCCAAACTTTCTTAACTTGTGGGACACGCTGACACAGCCGTGGGGTACTGGGGGCTGACTAGCATCTGGACAGCTGGGATGAGGGGATGGCAGGTGGGCTGGCTCCCGGATAGCGGAGAGCCCAGTGTCCCGAGGAGTGCAGGTGGGACCAGCAGGCCAGCCCCTGGAGGCGGCTCCCGAAGGCCGGGGGAGGTCCCAAAGGGGGAAGGGCACGGAGTGGGTCCGCGCCGCAGCTGGCAGGAGCGCGGACACTGGTCCCGCGCAATGGGCAGGGGGAGGAGGTGGAGGAGGGGCCGTCGGTTTCCCCCTCCCCTTTCTCCGCCTCCCCAGTCCGGTGCCCTTGGCCTCGAGCGCGTCGTTGGTTTCCGGTTGTCAGGCAGCGGCTGGCTGGGCGGCAGCCGAAGTGGGAGGGAGGGACGGACGCTGGTGGGGTGCGGGCCTGAGCCCTCCGAGACGCAGCCAGCATGAAGGACAGCGCGGACTCCAAGGACCAGCAGCTCACCGTGAGTCCCGGCTCCTCCTTCTCCTGCCTGTCTCACTCACTAGCCGTCTGCTCCCGGATTCTGGATTTTCACCTACACTTACACCTGCACCCACACTGCACCTACACCTGCTCCTATACCTATACACACACACACCCCTCTTCCCCACACGCCCCCTCCTAACGGACCCTCCCTTTCATATCCGCACCCCCCCTCCAGCTCCTCAACCCATCACTAGAACCAGGCCCCCACCCACACGCCTCCTCCCAAATTCTTCAGCTTCCCCCGCCCCAGAACAGAGCCCACACACTCACATTCCAACCTCCTAGGACTTCTCAAACTCTCTCCCCCCAGAGCAAAGCCCCTCCACCTTTATATCTACCCGAGCTCAACTCATCAATGCCTAACAGACCCCCCCCATGCTGCCATCCCTCACATTCGTGAACCTGCTTCAGCTAGAATATACACCTATCTGCACACTTCCCCTCAGCTTCCCAAACTCCCCAAACCCCTGCCCAGAAGCCCTCCTCTATTCCAACAATCCTCCCCACCCCCTCCACTCCCACACAAACACACACACACAAGTACACACAGTGGAGGGAAAGCTCTCTGGTAGAGGAAACAAAAGGAATGGTTTTATTTGATGGGGTGAGGGGGCTGCAAGTCTGTCTGGATTTTGTGGAGTTTGTTATCTTGGCTCTGTGAACTTTCTCTAAATTGGGAGTGAGGAGCATCTTTGCTTGCCTCCTTAGACACACCTCCTCCTTCTTTTCCTATCTGAGCTTGAGATGTCTGGAAGTTTCCCTAGTGAGAAGTGAGATCACACTCTCCTCCTCTAACGTTGCGTGTCTCTTATTACATCTGTGGGACTCCCCTCATCCCCCTGTCCCAGAATTTGTGCTGCTGTATCTTTAGGCCAGGACCATCTCTCTATACCTCTTCATTCCCCTAGCCCAAAGCAGCTGCCATGCCTATGTAGAGGCTGGGATCAGGTTTGCTTGTATTTGCTGTCAACAGAGGGGAAGCAAGAGAAGGAGGAAAAGGAAACTTGAATCTCTCTAAGCAAATCCTAGTGGGTATCTTGCTCAAGCAGCATTGTGGGGTGAGGGAGTGGAGAGTAAGGGCAGACAGATTCAGGGATTACTACAGAAAATTGTTGCCCTTGCCTCAAATGATGTCTACAATGTAACTCAAGACGTTGTACAATTCAGAATTCTAATTCACAGAGAAACTTGGACAACTAGGATGGTTTTTGTGCATTGTATGGTGAATCTGGTGTGTGTGTGTGTAAAGCATAGACTCTTCTGATCAACAATACCTTTTAAAATAAAAATTTTAAAAACAAGCTTGGGCATGGTAGAAGAGGTGACCCAATGACCCTGACCACCTATCTATCTCAAGGCTTTGACGGGGTATAGCAAGATCATGAATAGCCTCCCTGTCATTTTTTTCTGTTGCTTTCAGAGACATCATCCCAGCCCCTCTAATCTCTGCCCCTCCCCATCCCCTACATACGTACATATAATACTCCTCCTGTCCTTGAGAGTGTAGGGTGGTATAGTAGATTGAGCACTGGAGTCTGGAAGACCTGGGTTCAAATGCTGCCTCAAATACTCTGTGAACTTGGGCAAGTCACTTAATGTCTCTGTGCCTCAGTTTCCTCATCTATAAGAGGAGGAGTTGTACTTTATGACCTCAAAGCTCTCCTCTAGCTCTAAAACTACAATCCATTAATCCCCAATTGTGCCACAGTAGAGAACTCTGTATAGACCATCCGTTAGCAGCAGGTAGGTGGTGATGCAACCTAGCCATAACATTTCACCAAGAGAATACATCGCTGTTGCAGCAAGATCTCTAATACAGAGATGGGACTCTTGCCAAGGCCCTGACCTCAGCTCCCCAAAGCCCCTGGGAGCCAGAACATCCTCTTTGACAGTTTAGAATCTGTCCATTTGAAAACTGGTTCACAAGGGGAGAACTATGTAGATTGGGCTGGGCTGGGCTGGGGTGACTTTCCTCTTTCCATCAGCAAGGTATAGCTAAGACAATGATGAATATGAACTGGCTAGTATTGTCTCTCCCCTTGGAAAAAGAAAATGATTATTTTGGGGAAACCTTATGTAATTATGAGTAGGTACATTCACTAGGAATTTCCTCATTAGGGAAACAACTTGGTCAGACAAAGAAAGCGTCAGAGACTTTGTGCCAAAGAAAGTTACACAGGTGCCACGGAACAAGCGTTGGTGTTTTGAATTAGAGGGTCTGAGTTCAAATCCTGAACTGCTATTTATAACCTGTAACTACTTATATGCAAATCACTTAATTTCTGCAGATGGACCAAATGATTTTAAGGTTTCTTCCAGCTCTAAATCTATGATACAATGGTGAAAGCTTGTTTAGATTGAGAAGACCTGGGTTCAAATCTTGCTTCTGTCCCTGATACACTGCCTGTGTGGCCTTGGTCAAGTCATTTGACCCCTCTAGGCCTCAGCATTCTTATTTGTAAGTTTATAAAATGAGGTGATTGTCCTAGATCAGAGGTGTCAAACACGAAGCCAGCAACACACTCTTAAATGCAGGGAACCAGCTTAAAATGTAATTGATAAATATTTGGCAAAACTAGAATACAGTAAAACATAGATCATATTACATTTTAAAATTACATCAATATGCAGCCTGTAGGGATGTAGAGATTGCTAGTCCCAGTTTCTATTTCAGTTTGCTGCCGCTGGTCTAGATGATTCCTGAGCTCCTAATTTTATGATTCTATGAGCCTGCCATCTTCCTGGCTCTAGTATCCTTATTTCTGTTTTCCAAGTGGGGACTGGTGGGTGGCACCATTGTCCACACTGACTCTTTCATCACAGAGTTATAGTATTCAGAACTGGAAGGAATCTTAGAAATAATTTGGTGCACCCAGAGAAATGAAGTGACTTTCTTACAAGTAGTCACAGGTCATGAATACAAGAGTGGGATTTAAACCCAGGCCTTCTGACTTAAAACAAGTGCTTATTTCACAAAACCCGTATAGTTTCTTTGTGTACAAAGAGGAGGTACTGTTAGATTCACAGCCAGACTGATCATACTTTGCCCCAATGTATACAATGTCTTTCTGCCTTTTTCCTCCCAGAAGTAGAAACTTGAGACTAAATGAAATTTGTATCATTTAGGATTGCAAATAGAAGACCCTCTTGGTATAGGTACATTCCTCTCTGCCCTGCTGACTAGGGTAAACCCTAGCCATCAAAACAGCCCCTCTCCGTATTCACCTGCATCACTCGAGTGTCTAATCTCCAGGCACACAGACACCTCTGTTTAGATGTCAGAGACATGAAGGAGCAGATCACTGGGGAGTTACAGGTGTTTAATTTGGCCATATGTCTGAGCAAAGTAAGGCTCACAGACAGAGCTCTCCCCAGAGTCTCTCCCTGGAACTGTGGACTCCCATGGGGCAGGCACCTCAGTTTCCCTTAGGGAAGTCTAGAAGTCTGGGTAAAACTTAAGATACTAACATGCAGACACACCTGTCTCCCTGCATGCTAAACGTTTAGTGGGGTGATGATGGTGGGAAATAGCATCGATGCTAGGAACTATCAGTCTTGGGGCTCAGAGAAGAGAAACATGAAAGAAAAGATATTTTTGGTGACCATAACTGGGCACTTGTCACTTGGGGCTGATGTGGGAGTTAGTCAACAACAATCAGCAAGAATTTATTAAGTACCTACTATGTGCCATGCACTGGGGATACAAAGAAAGGCAAAAGACAGTCTCTGCTGTGAAGGAGCTCATATGTAAACAACCATGTACAAGCAAGATATAGACGGAATAAATTGGGACAATCAACAAAGGAAAGATGGTAGCTTTAAGGGGCATCAGGTTCTTATCTAGCCCCCACATGTGTGGTGAGCATCTGACCCCTGGACCCATCCCTAAGTTGCCAGACCACTCCTCCTTTCCTCCTGTGGAAAAAAGTGCCAACTGTAGAAGATTCTCTGTTGTCCTCTAGAAAACTCTAATGCTGCCCAAGATGTGGCCCTGTCTTCTCTTCAGGTGCTCACTCCCTTTCATCTGGGAAAATGTTAAATTATACTCAGTCTTTCTGCCCTAAGGTAGGTCTGACTTGGCCACAGACATGGATTCTTTAAAGCAGGCTAGGTGTCAGGGTATAGAGTGTGACTCAAGGGAATCTAATTGTTCAGCCCATTTTGGACAAGAGAATAGGGTCCCTGGGGGCAGCAATACACAACTCACAATCATACAGTGCCTTCAGGTTTGCCCAGCCCTTGTCTGCAACCGCTATGTGAGTGCAAGGATTATTAACTCCGTTTTACAAACGAGGAAACCAAAACTCAGACAGGTTAAATGATTTGTCCTTGGTCACATAGCTAGTGAATGACAGAACTGAAATCAGAACCCAGGCTGTCTAACCCCAAGCTCTTTCCACCACCCCATTTTGTCTCCTTCTACTCACTGGACCCTTAACTGGTGCCATTGATGGATGTGATCATACAGAGGCAGCAAGGTGGCACAATGTTGGTCCTAGAGTTAGGAAGACCTGAGTTTGAATCTTGTCTTGGGCAAATCACTTAACCTCTGTCTACCTCAGTTTCCTCATATGTAAAATGGAGATAATCATAGTATGTACCTTCTAGGATGATTATGATTGAGGTAACATATGAAGTGCTGCATAAAGCTAAAAGTGCTATATAAATGCTAGCTATTGTTATTACTGATATAATTATCATCACTATAAAGGAGACCCTGGGATTTTCATTACTGCTAACCTTATGGGTATTTTAAGCTCATCCCACATTTGTACCTTTGCACTGGCCTGACTCCATGAACCTAGGAAGACTACTCAGTGGCCAAATGGCATAGTTCTTGGGGCAAGTGACACAGAGGGAGAAGTGATGACTTCCCCATATCTCTCTCTCTCTCTCTCTCTCTCTCTCTCTCTCTGTCTCTCTCTCTCTTCTTTCTCTCCCTTCCCTTTCCTCTCTCCCTCTCTTTCCATAATCCTCTCTCTCTCTTTCTCTCCTCCCCTCTCTCCTTCCCTCTGTCTGTTTCCCTCTCTTCCTCTCTCTTTTTATAACTCTCTCTTTCTCTCTCCCTCTGTCTCTCTCCCTCTATCTGTCTCTGTCTGTCTGTCTGTCTCTCTCTCTCTCTTACACACACACACACACACACACACATGCACATGCACACACTCCTCTTTGCACACTTTCTGTTCCAATAAAACTAACCTGCTAACTGTTTCTCCTATATGACATCCTATCCCTTACCTCCTCATCTTTGCACAAGTGGTCCCAAATACCTGGAATGCACTCCTTTCTCACCTCCACCTTTTAGAATCTATAGATTCATTCAAAGCACAGCTCAGGTACCACCTCCATCACAGAACCTTCGGGGATCCTCCCCAGCTTTTTAGTATTATCTCTTTTGAAATCACTTGGTATTGCTGTCCATTCATAACTTTCTATTTACTCACTTGCATACATGTTGTATACTGCCAGTCGTATGTAAGTTCCTTGAAAGCATGGACTGTTATGTTTTGTCCATCTCTCAAGTGCCTAGCACAGAGCAGGTGCTCAGTCACTGTATGTTAACTTACATTGAATCGGACCCCTACACCTTGTTGGGTAAAGAGCTGAAAGAAGAGTTGCGGAAAAAGGAGGAGAGTGCCCAGGACAAGCAGGGCCAACCCAACTCGTCCTCTCAGGCCATGAGCAAATAAATGATCCTCTTTAAGCCTTTGTCTTCTCTTTGATGTGGGACCCACTGTCCCTCAACCCCAGCTTCACTGAGCCTAACAAGAAATCTGGTGTCTGTCTTTAGGTGGCACTTCGGGTCCGGCCCATTAGTGTCACGGAGCTGGAGGAAGGAGCCACACTTATTGCCCATAAAGTGGATGAACAGGTAAGCAAAGGCCCCAGACAAGAAAAGGTCAGGGAGGTGGGCTCCTCTGGAAAGCTGGATACAAGCTATGTTTGGGCTGACCAGGGCAATGGAGTCGCCTGGGCCTCCCAGCCTAATACCACCACCACCACCAATAACAACAACAATAATAAGTCATATTTATTGTTATTGTTGTTTAGTTGTTTTTTCAGTTATGTCTGACTCTTCCTCACCCCATTGAGATTTTCTTGGCAAGCATACTGGAATGGTTTGCCATTTCCTTCTCCAACTCATTTTATAGATGAGGAAACTGAGATAAACAGGGTCAAGTGACTTGCCCAGGGTCACCCATCTATTAAGTGCCTGAAGCCAGATTTTAACTCAGGAAGATGAGTCTCCCTGACTCCAGGGCTGAAGCTGTATTCACTGTACCACTTAGCTGCCCAAATTATATTTGTAGAGAGCTTTAAATTTCATGAAGCATTTTGATCACAACTCTGAGAGGTAGACAGTGTATAGACAGAGACAGACATTTTACAGATGAGAAAACTGAGTCTCAAGTTGACGCAGCTAGTAGGAAGTAGACATGGAACTCAAATCCAGGTCCTTTGACTTTAGATTCTGTGACCACATTGCTGCCCAAAACTTTCTCTTCCTCCAAATGACTATTTCCTCCTAGTTACTAGCAGGGCAGCTAGGTGATATAGTGGACAGAGTGCTGGGCCTGGAGTCAGGGAGATAAATCTTCCTGACTTCAAATCTGACCTTAGATAACTTGCTGGCTGTGTGACTCTGGGCAAGTCACTTAACTCTGTTTACCTTAGTTTCCTCATCTGTAAAATGTTCTTGAGAAGGAAATGGAGAACCACTCCAGTATCTTTTCTAAGAAGACCCCGAATAGGGTCACGGAAAAGCTAGACTCAACTGAAATGGCTGAATATCAACAACCTAGGTGGCAGGAGGTAGTGGATAGTGACCTGGAGTCAGGAAGATCTGAGTTCAAATCTGGCCTTAAACACAAGCTATATGACTCTAGGCAAGTCATTTAACTTCTGTCTGCCTCAGCTTCCTCAACTGTAAAATGGATAATGGATTAATAATAGCACCCACCTCCCAGGACTGAATTTGTAAAGTGCTTAGCTTGGTGCCTGACACATGGTAAGCTTTTAATAAATACTTGCTTCCTTCCTAGGTCAACAACAACAATAATGATAATGATGATGATAATAATAATAATTACTATTAAAATAAATGAAATTTACATAGTGCCTTAAAGTTTGCAAAGTGCTTTCTTTACATAGGTCATCTCATTTGGCCCTCACAAGCGGCCTGTGAGGTAAATGCTACCTCAAAATGATATTATCGTCTCCATTTTACAGATGAGAAAACTGACTGTGGTTGAGAGAAGTTAGTGACTTGTCCACAGCCACAGAGCTAGTGCCTAAGATAATATTCAAACCTATCTTCCTCACTCTAGCCTCTATGCCACCAACCCTTCTCATCTTTCATTCTATCCTCTCCCTCATTCATCCCATCCAAACAGCTGCAAGGTCTTGTCAATTCTACCTTCACAGTGTTTCCTACACCCATCCTCTTCTCTTTACATATATAGCTACCCACCTCATTCAGTCCTCACCACCTCTCACCTGGTGACTACTGAAATAGCTTCCTACTTGATCTTCCTGCTTTCAGCCTTACCCCTCCTTAATCCATCCTCCACACAGCTGCTAAAATAGTCACCCCAAGGCACAGACCTACATTCATTCCCCTGCTCACAAATCTCTAGTAAAGCCTAGGTAGCTTTATTTATATAAGGATAAAATACATACTCCTCAGTCTGGCATCTAAATGTCTCCATCATGGCTCCTACCTCCCTTTCTAGTATTATTTTTGTATAACATTCCTTCCCCTTCTCTTCCTCCCAGCCAAACCAGACTCCTTGCTGTTCTGCCAACTCAGCATTCCATCCTTTGCCTCCATGCCAGGTAGTCCCCCAAACCTAGATGTACTCCCTCCTCATCTCCCCCTCTCAGAATCCTTTTGTTGTTCAGCAATTTCTGTCATACCTGACTCTTCGTGACCCCATTTGGTGTTTTCTTGCCAAAGACACTGGAATGGTTTGCCATTTCCTTCTCCAGCTCATTTTACAGATGAGAAAACTGAGGCAAACAGGATGAAGTGACTTGCCTAGGGTCGCTCAGCTAGTTAAGTGTCTGAGGCAGGATTTGAACTCAGGTCCTCCTGACTTCAGGGCGGGTGCTGTATCCATTGAACCGCCAAGCTGTCCTTTCAGGATCTTTATCTTCCTTCAACACTCAACTCAGGTGGCATCTCTCATGCAAGACCTTCTCTGATCCCCCAAGTTGTTAATGCTTTGTTCCTTCTCAAATTACCTTTAATATTATTTATCTATTTACATGGTATATCATTCTCCCTACCTCAACCCTAATCCAGACCTGTAAGTTCCTTGAGCCTTGTTAACAACCATTATGCATAGCACACAGTAAATAGATATTAATTAAATGCAATTGAATCACCTATTGGACCCTCAACTGGAACCATTCATCATTTAATTGGTTGATCAACAAACATTTAAGTGACTCGTGTGTGCCTGGTACTGTCCTAGGTGCTGAGGATACATATACAAAAAGAAATAGTCCCTACCCTCAAGGAGACGACATATACATAAGTATGTATAACAGAAATCCAAGGTAAATTTTGAGAGTAAAGGCACTAGCAGCTAGGAAGCTCAGGAAAGATTCCATATAGAAGGGCCCCTTGAGATCAGTTCTGAAGGAAACAAGGGATTCTAAGAGGCAGAGGTAAGCTGGGAGGGCGTTTCAGTCAGGGGGCTCAGCCAACGCAAAAGCAAAGAGATGGGGGAGGGAGCGTCATTTGCGAAGAAGAGTGAGAGCACCAGTTTGGCTGGACTCTAGAGTACAGGAAGGGGAGTAATGTACAATAAGGTTGGAATGGTAGGTTAGGGCCAGGTTAGGAAGGGCTTTAAAAGCTAAACAGAGGAGCTCATATTTGATCCCAGAGACAAGAGGAGTCGTTGGAATTAATTGAGTAGGAAAATAAAACGTGCAGACTTTTACTGTGGAAAACTAATGGATTCAGGAGGGGAGAAACCTGAGACAAAGAGTCCAATTAGGACAGTGGTCTAGGTGAGAGATGTGGAGAGTCTGAACCAGGGTAATAGTCTGATGAATAGAAAAAAGAGGATGGGTGTGGAGGAAGAAACAACGAAATCTGGCAACTGATTAGATATGTAACATCAGGGAGAGATAGGAGTCAAGGACAGTGCAAAAATTGTATCAGGACAACTGAGAAGATGGTAGCACCCTCAACAGAAATAGGGAAATTTGTGAGTGGGGAGGGGAAGAGGGTTTTCGAGGAAAGAGAATGAGGTTGAAGGACATCGGTGGTGATGAGGCCCTCAGGGGATCTACTCTTCCCCCACCTCTGGCCATCTTGGCGCTGCCTAGAAGTTCCTCCCCTGAGCGGTAGGGCCCCAACAAAGCAGCAAGACTTGCCAATATTTCTGTGAAGCTAAGGAGGCAGCTGTCAATGCTGCTAAAGGTACATGTTGGAACAGGTCGAGTTATGGGTTCAGTAAGTTTGAATTCATTGGTGCCCAGTGGCTGTGATAAGAAAAACGGGAGGTGAGCAGTGGCCTCTCCTCGGCGCTGTAATGGACTTGTTTTTCCTTCGCAGCTCTTTCTGAATAGGATGGTGAACCTGACCTCCACAAAATGGGCAGGGTAAATTAGCATAAATACTAAGCCACTAGATAATTTCCAAGGGCTTTCTCCACCTGTGTTGCTTACTGGAAAAATGTAGGTTGCCTCAAAGGTTTGTAAGCCAATGAGGAGAAACAAGTGGGTGAGAGGACCATGTCTGGGCTGGTTTGGGAAACAGAGTTGGATTTATATCTTTACACAAGAATAAATTCTTCAGCACTGAGAAAAACCCTAGAGATCATCTAGTCCTTGAGTACATGGACCCCAAGGAGTTATTTATGTAGTGCTTAAAGGTTTGCAAAGCACTTTATATCTTTTCTTGATCCTCACAATTCTGCAAGGTAGAAATTAGTATCTCCCCTTTACAGATGAGGAAACTGTAGCTTGCACACCATCACCCAGCTAGAGTCTAAAGAAGGATTCTAACTCAGGTCTTCCTGAATACCAATCCAGTGCTCTGTCCATTGTACCACCTTTTGTTCAGTCATTTCAGTCACATCCAACTCTTGGTGACCCTCATTTTGGGGTTTTCTTGCCAAAGATACTGGAATGGTTTGCCATTTCCTTCTCCAGTTCATTTGACAGATGAGGAATCTGAGGCAAACAGAGTTAAGTGGCTTCAGGTCTGACACTCTATCCTCTGTGCCTCCAGTATTATTATTATTATTATCCCCATTTTACAGATGAGTAAACTGAGGCTGAGAGCCTAAGTGCCTTGCACACTATCATACAGCTAGCGTCTGAGGAAGGATTTGAACTCAGGTCTTCCTGACTTCAAGACCAGCGTTCTATTCCTTGTACCACCTAGCTGCCTCTAGATTTCAAGGGATCTTTGAACTAAAGAAGCCTATTTTACAGATGAGAAAGTGACTTGCGCAATGTTGCATAACTAGAGTGGTAGAAGCTCTTTTCTAGCCAATATCTTTTAAAAGACCTAATAAAAGTGATATCCAAGCTATACTCAGAGTCAGTTACAAGTATGGATATTTCTTTTCAGGGGGAGGGGGTTAGGCAATGGGGTTAAGTGACTTGCCCAAGGTCACACAGCTAGTAAGTGTTATGTGTCTGAGGCCAGATTTGAACTCAGGTCTTTCTGAATCCAGGACCGGTCCTCTATCCACTGCACCACCTAGCTGCCCCTAAGTATGGATATTTCTACCACCTTTCAAGAAAGACATTCAGTATTATGGGCTTAAGTCAACACTGGGAAAGAAGATGTTCTAGAGAGAAGTGGGAAGTGAAAAATACAGGCCCACCCTAAGCATAAGAACAGCTAGG